GGGGAAGACTAGACAAAGACAACAGTTTAAAAACAAAACCGCAACATTCACAATTTCCGCGGGGCTGGATGTTTCACAGGCCCCCCCTGATTAAAGGCCTGGAAGATAAAACATACGAAGAACAGTTGCAGGATTTGGGTTTGGCTAGTCTAGAGAAAAGGAGGACTAGGGGGGTGGGGGACATGATAGCACTATTCCAGTACTTGAGAAGCTGTCACAAAGAGAGAGAGGGAATCAATTTGTTTTCCAAACCACCAGAGGGCAGGACAAGAAACAATGGATGGAAACTATTCAAGGAGAGAAGCAGCCTGTAAGTAAGGAGAAAATTCCTAACAGCGAGGACAATTAACCAGTGGAACAGCTGGCCTTCAGAAATCGTGGGTGCTTCAGCATTGGAGGTTTTTAAGAAAAGACTGGACAATCACTTGTCTAAAATGGTATAGGATCTCCTTCCAGCTCTATTCGGATTCTATTCTGATACTAATATTCTAGAATTAGCCCATAAGAAAGTGGAGACAAGAATAGATAAGACTTTGATGAGCCAATACAAGAAAACAGTACCAAAGCTAAAAAAAACAGTCGGAGGAACCACATAACCAAAGACTAGAACATTTTTAAAAGGGGGAGATAGAGGAAAACTGAATTATTCTTCATAAGAATGAAAACCAAGAGGTTTTGATGAAGTGACATCAAAGGTAGCTGGAAGAAAAGCCACATTGGAGAACTCTTTGAATTAGTCCCGGAGAAAGTAAGTGTGAAGGAAACCACTGGAGTGACACATGGATTAACTTTATTTGTGTACAATCAACTTTAAACATCACAAAACCAGAATGCTCTCTGTCAGCTACTGTGCTTTAAAAAAACTAGGATTTTCCTTAAAATAATGAAATATGTATCAAACAATCTCGAATAAGCATCCTTTTGTAGAGCAATAGACCACCCTTAAGGCCTGCCTGGTCCAACGAGGTTCACAATAATCCCAGCATCCAGATCAGATAGCGAAAGATTTATACGATCTGAAGAGAAACCAGAGTATAGATAGCAGTATATGACCCTTTGCAATTGTGATTACACAAGCGGACTACAATCTACTTTTTCTCCACCATTACTGGAACCATTGGACTAGCTACAATCGCTACAGATTGATAACACAGATCCTGGGGAATATTTTTCTTTGTGGGGATGCAGGATGGAAGGATGGAAGGAAGGAAGGCCAATGGCAGAAAAGGTGAAAAGAAGCTTATTCGGGGGGAAAAAAGATGGGCACTCTCAGAGGAAGGACTAAGAACAAAGGGAAGTGAATTTAAACACTCCGAAATCCCAACTAGCCTTTTACCATCACCCCGAGATGTTTCTGAACACAAACTTTACGTCGCGCGATCAGCGAAAAAAATAAATAATAATCTGATTTCCTGCGTTGCCACATTCATTTAATACGTCGCGCGATCAGCAAAAATAATAATAATAATAATNAACAAAGAAAATATTCTAAGCCAAGGGAAGAGTTGCTGATCCTTACTGTTGAAATGTTAACTATTCCTATATTGATGCCAACATTTTCTAAACTCTAAACTAGCAAATTGTTAACGTAGATTTTTGTCTGATCACCCAGCAGTAGGAACTTATCCACTGCTACAGCTTATCCTAATTGAAAGTTTGGCTTTTTAGCAGCAATGGAATACGCCATAGCATGTTCAAATAGTAGCTGATCTGTTTGTATATGAATCCCACTTTTATCCTAAATTCTGCAATCAAACAATTCACACTTATATGGATGCAAAGATACTCACTCGACCATAGATCTCTCCTTTCCACCATCCTGGCTGTCCTTTCTTATTGAGAATCTTTATGATGTCTCCCTCTGACAAGGACAATTCAGTCCGATCTCGTGCACAGAAATTATAGCGAGCCTTGGCTGAGCCAAAGTACTTGAGACTTTTCCCTGTTTTAAAAAAACAACAATATGAGTTTAGTAGTAGTCAGACAGAACCGGATAAGATTCACCAGGTCCCTAGAACTGCAGAGAATCTTAATTGTTCTATGGTTCTTATGGCATAACCATAAGAGGGCCAAGCAATAATGCTGTCTGAGAATCAATGTAGGTCTGCAAAATCTCAACAAGCATCTCAAATCTCATTTCAGACTTCTCTGCAGCAGATATATTTGCCCACAATAGTGAAAATATATCTCTCTTTTATGCAATGGCCAATTAAGAGGGAGCTTAAATGAGCCAAATAGGATTTTAGCAAGTAGAAGGAGGATAGAGAATGCCTAGCAAGGTTACAGCCAATCTTGGCTAATTTCGAGACGCTAAGCAGGGTCTATATCATTGCCAAGCAAACTATGTAAACATGTTCATGAAGTCACAATTGAACTGCCCTTGAAGACAACTTTGACTTTGTGATGCAGAAGAGCACGTGATCAAATCAGATATTTGGAATAGATTGTGGAAGATAGTATTCCATTTGTGGTTTCCCCCTTCTCCTTGAGATGTAGCAGACTAATGGGTACAGGAGAAGCCAACTAACCACTGAAGGAAGATGGGAACTTTTTTTATGTCCAGGATTGCCTTCCCAATGTGAAAATTGACATTGATTGAACTTTATTGCTGTACACTATATCAGTGTTTCTCAACCTTGNCGGTTCGTCAAATCTACCGAACCGGTTAGAAGAGGTTCCACCAGTGGACCCGGAAAGCAGGCCACACCTACAGAAGAGGTTCCAAAAATTTTTTGGAAACCCACCACTGGGAAGAAGGGAGTTCATGCTTATTAGTGTGATCAAAAAAGTGGCTAGTATAGAAAAAACAGAATTTCACAGAGGAATAGAAGAAGCAACATTAGTTACTCCCATGGCAAGGTGGGGTACCAGGCCCACAAATCTTTGAACCCCATCTCCTAAGTACTTTGCAGGAAAACTGCAAAGCTGTTCAGAGTTACTCTGGATAGTGAGATAAGCGGCAGATAAATTTAATACAGTGAATGAATAAATAAATAAATCTGAGCTGAATCAAACTAAGTCAGACGGGCGGAATTTATAATTAAAAAAATATAGGTTTTGTAATAACGCACAACATTAGGATTGGTTCACAATTAGTTGAAACCATTATATCCATTTTTATTGTGGTTATTGGCTATTCTAGAAATGGCTATTCTAGAAATGTAAGGGTTAGTTTATCAAATGAATTGAAAGGGAAGGGATTACACTGAAACATCTCACCAGATCCCACAGAAAGAGATTGCAAGATTATTGCAGAGTAGATTGAAGTTTCAGGGTATGAAGGCTGGTGCTTAATAAAGAACTTGTGTTTGAAAGATTCTAGGGGCAGATAAAATCTTGTCCAGTTACATTTGACTCTTCATGACCCAACAGAGATTGTTTGATCAGGCTTACTTCTCTTTGTGTTCTCAGATTGCACAGAGAAGCCTCAGAATGAAAAGGATGTGAAAGACAGGGCTAAACTACCTCCTGGTGTTTTATTGAATGTCTTTGCCTCCTTAAATGCAGTAAGAAGCAATGGGAGATTTCCCAGGTGAGGAAAGTGCACAAGCTGGTTTAAAATAAATCAACCATGTCCATGAGCTAGCTTAATCTTCTCCAATTTGAGCTTTCCAGGAAAAAAAAATGTTGATTGTGAATCCTTTCTTGAGAATTCTTGGAGTTGCAGTCTTTACCTCTGGAGAATGGTGGCCTAATTGTTTAGGAAGATGATACACGCGGGAAGGCTGCTACTGAAAGAATTTACTTTTTAAAAATATCAAATCTTGCAGCAGTATAAATTTCTGGCTTTACTTACAGAGAGAGAGAGAGGTTTTGACAATTGAAATCATTTAATAATGCTTCCTCCAATTAAGACAGGCTGGTTTGATGACGCTGGTAATTTTCAGTTAGGACAGACCCTGAGTGAGATATCCAAAAAGAATAAACAGAACCCAAACTTTTGAACCTCAATTTTATATAAAAAAAGAAGTATTTGGAGAGAAGAGAATTCAGAGGGAATTATAGTTCAGAAGACTATGCAAACTCTCTAATTCTGAATATCATTAAACCATGTAGCCTTAGTGGTATATGTATTTTGTGCTAATTCCACTCAATTTCAGGCAAAAGTTTGGTTCAGTACATTCTTTTTTAGTTGCATCTGGAGATCTAAACTGGAAATCCTAAAGATTAAATTGATACAACATTAGCAACTCAGAAAAAGTGTTTGGTTTTGCAAAGCTGCTTTCCACAGAAATAAGATACCGTAATTATTCCTTGGTTTGACCCGGAAGATACCATGAGTTTGAGGGCCACATATAAACTATTTCCTTTGTTATTCATTACCAGCAATGAAGAATAGTCTGAAGAAGTTGCAACCCAGATTTCAGACATAGTTTTAAAGNCTTTTCCACCAATCAGAGAGCTCTTCCCGCCCCCCCGAACCTGCTTTCCACCAATCACCCCCGCCAACAGACCTCCTCGATTTTTTTTTAACACCTTCCAAAAGACTTTGCTTACCTATTAAGCCAATCACAAGAAGGGAGGAAGTACGAGCCAAAGCTTTTTTTTTTTAAAGAGCATTACGTAAGGTATTAGTGGACCAATCGCAAAACGCCTCACGTTGTTTTTTTATTTTATTCCGAGCCTTGCGGTTTTTTTCTCTCTTAAGGGACTCGATCTGATTTGTGTGTGTTTGTGTGTTTTTTTAAAACAGTTCAAAAGCTGTTTTGGGTATAACGGAGATGCGGTACAGTAAGACAAGAAGCAGGGATGGGGAGACATAGATGCTCTTTAGGGAAAATGGATTTAAGAGTTTTTTCTCTTTTAAGCCCCGCCTCTTTCATTAGCCTCAGCCAATAAAGTGGCTCTTCCTCGCTCCTTTGAAAAGGGGAGGAGTTAAGGCGGAGGCGCGCGCTTTGCCTGGATGGAGAGGCGCGCGCGCGCGCGCGCGGACTTGCCTTCCCAGGTCTCTCCCCCCCCATCCCCCATCCGAGCCGGCGTTGGCTGCCGATGCGCATGCGCACTGCTGGTACCACTGCGGCTGAGGCTGATACAGCGGGGGAAGGGGCTTTAATCGTTGTAAATCTGGCAGCCGTGGAAGGCGAGCAATCCGCCCGGCTGCTTCCTTAAGGGCCCCCCGCGCCATCCAGTGAGCTGCCTCTGGTTTCCCTTAGCCCACTGGAAGACCAGATAGTAAAAAAAAAAAGGATTTCCCATTTAAAAGAAGATGGAGAAATGGAAGCGAAGCGAGGATGCCTTGCTAGCACTTTGAATGGTTTAATAAGTCTTATTAAGACTAGTTCCCCTTTTGGGAATTTAACTTCTATTGACCCTCGAAAACCGACGCCGGGGCTCTTGTTAACCAGTTATCGTTATTGTCAATCTCTTATTACAGCGTTTCCCAACCTTGTCCACTTGAAGATGTCTGGACTTCAACTCCCAGAATTCCCCAGCCAGCGACTCCTATAAAGCCTCTGGGGAGGGAGAAAAATGGCTTTAAAAAAGGGTGAACTCACGTGCTAATAGGTTCGCCATCACTGCCCTGGGAAATATTGAAAAGGCAGAATATTATATTTCCCTGCATCAGAAATGGAGAAACATGTATTTAGGCAGGAGACAGACTCACTCTTAATAGCCCCCCCTCTTTTCTTAACGGGCCATTAAAATGCCTGATCCAGTCTGTTCTCCATAACAAAGAGTTCTCCCCTTCAGCTCCAGGGTGATGGGATTCAGGCATGCTAGTATTAGCTCTTTACCCATAAAGAGGCATGCCTAATTTATCTTCAGCAAAACAAACCAGTTTATCATTACCTGAAGGATATAACAATAAATCAAGATGTATAAAATTAATGCAGCAGTGAAACTGGCTTTCAAGTTTTTGTACACCTAAGGATAGATTGCGGAAGAAGCAGAGGTGGGTTCCTACCAGTTCGCACCTATTCGGTAGAACCGGTTCGTCAAATCTACCGAACCGGTTAGAAGA